CTCTGGTGGACATTCTTGCAGTCAGCATGCCAATTGCACGCTCCTTCAAAACTTGCGACATCTGTGGCATTGTGCTGTGTGATAAAACTGCACATTTTAGAGTGGCCTTTTATTGTGGCCAGCCTAAGGCACACCTTTGCAATAATCATGCTGTCTAATCAGCACCTGTGAGGTGGATGGATTATCTCGGCAAAGGAGAAGTGCTCACTAACACAGATACAGACAGATTTGTGAACAATATTTAAGAAATAGGCCTTTTGTGTACATAGAAAAAGTCTTAAATCTTTGAGTTCAGCTCATGAAAAATGGGGGCAAAAACAAAAGTGTTGCATTTATAATTTTGTTCAGTGTGTGTATATATATGTATAAAAAATTATTAGCATTATCATTATTTTATTTATTTTCTTCTTATTCTAGTTACAAAAGTTATTTAGTCAAGAGCAGTAAGAGATTTTATCTTACTATCGTTTGATTAACATGAATGGCAGACAGGACGAATATTGGACAACTTCCCCTTTAAGACCGAAGTCCGGATCCAATATACTGTTACACATGCGCTTTCTCTCGCAACTGTTTACGTTCTCTTAAGACCTAAATGACTGTGTTTATGAGGATACTTGCAAAGCTGGGCATTTGGACGCATATAAGTGTGTTTGTGCGATCGTTTAAAGTCAAAAATGCTCACAAGCTCTATTAGCAGCTGATGCGCGGCTTACGCACTCCTCTCACACAGAAACCGAGACAGCGCGCACATATAGCTCAGTTGTTTGTGTTTCAACGGCCTAAAATCAGTTGTTTTAAACTGCAGTGCTTAAAAACACGTGCAAACATAGTTTTAGTGAGCGCGCATGCTGTTATTCACGTTTCTGCCTGCATCCCCGTGTAATGCAAGACTGCAGTCATTCAAATGATGAAAAAGTATTGCCGTAAACAATGCATTTTGCGGCACCACGAAATAAACGATAGAGCATAATATGAAACGATAGACTTTTAATTTCCTCCATCCGATATATATCGTCATATCGCCCAGCCCTATAACATACCATATAGCCTATAAAACGCTCTCACACATTTAGCCTATTAATTTAATATTTTGGGAGGAGTAAAATTTGCATATGTGGTTTCAACAACTAGATGCATTTACACTTGTCCAGTTTCGTCTGGAATGCGGCCCAGACCACCTCCTGAAGTGGTTTGAGCAATCGGATTTAAATGCATCTCAAAAGCGTTTCGGAGGGCCTCGTCTTTACACCTGGGGCCGTATGTATAAAGCCGCTCAAAGTAAAAGTTTAGTCTTAAGTGTGTCAAAATTCTAAGAATGACGTAATTTTACTCTTATTCCTAGACTTAAGAATAAGAGTGATTCATAAAGGTTCCTAAGTGTTAAAAGAGGTCTCAGCTCCTAAATTATTTAAGAGAGCTGGAGAGGTCTCCTAACCTAGTTAGGAGTAATAA